TGTGGCATATTGGTAAATAAAGATGTCAGGTGACAAAATTTCACGCTGCAGGTGGTCTGGTTTGAAATGCAATGCCTGAAATTGTGGTGGAGGCAGATTCAGTTGATGGGTTCAGGTGAATTGGATGAATATTTAATTGGAGCTACATGCAGAGTCCTAGCAAAAGGCTGGAGGTTAGCACCAAGCTGAAATGCCCAGAGATACGGTGTTGATAAAATGAGTTGAATGATCCCTTGCTGCAACATAGCAATCCTATGATTCTGATTCGGTGATCAAGGCGATAGTTAGTGCTGGCACCAGAGGATGGTTGACTTGACATGAATAGCCACGATCAAGAAGATTTCAAATAGCACCGGGACTATTAAGCAGGCCAGTTTGACACTAGTCTGGATTTTGAAGGTGAAAAGTTCAGAGTTGTATTCGTATCACTTTGAAGCACTTTGTGATTGTGATGTATCTTCTTGGACATCCAGATCTTTGGAGCTCAGTCCATAAATTGATTCACTTTATCAAATGTTTTAGTAACATCAATGAATGCAGTGGGAGTTAAAAGTCAACCACATTGCTATGAGCCTGGAGTCACATGTAGGCCAGACCAGGTAAGGATGACAGATTTCCTTTCTTAACGGACATACATGTACTAACCAGACAGGTTTTTTTGATAATTTATCGTAGTTTTGTAGTTGCTGGAAGGCTAGCCTTATTAATTCATGATATTTAAAAATGAATTTCACCATTTTTCATGATGGGATTGAAACCCATGTTCCCAGAATATTGGCTTGCTGTTTTGGGTTCCTGCTTCAGTGACATTACCACATCACCTCTACCTCCCCTCAATAAAGGAAAGTATTCTATATACTACCTTAACCAGCTTATCAGCAGGTACTGTAACCATCAGGGATCTGTCAGCATTCATTCCAAGGTTTGTCTCATTTTCTATGCATCTCATTAAATCTGTCTTCCTTTGCCTTGTTGACCTCCCCAGATATATCACCTCACACTTCTGGATTGAACTCCAATTGCCATTTTTCAGTTCACCTAGCCAATTGGTGGATATCTTTCTGCAGTCTATAGCTATCCTCCTCAACATCAACCATGCAGCCATTTTGTTGTGTCATCTGCAAACATCTTGATCATGACTTTCGCATATACAATAAATTCATCAAAATATCCCACAGAAAGAATGCTCCTAAGACTGACTACTGTGGAGCACCACTGAAATCAGCCTTCCAGTTGCACTTGTTTGTTACCATTTAGCTAACTCTGCATCAAGCTTGCTACATTTCCCTAGATCCCTAGATGTTTTTCAATCAAGCTGCTATGTGGGATCTTGTCAATAGTCCCGCGAGCTTCCATGTAGCCACATCAACTGCCCTTCCCTATTCAGTTCTCCCTGTTAATTCCTCAAATTTAATCAAGCTCATTGGACAGCTTAACGAATTCATGCTGACAATGCTTGATTAATTTGTGCCTTTCTAAGTGACAAATTATCCCATATCTCCAAATTGATTCAAATAATTTGCTTAATTCTGAGGTTAGACCGGCTAAGTTATAGTTATTCAGTCATATCTCATTCCCTTTTTAAAGGACTTTAGCAGTCTTCCAATCCTTCAACACTATACCTGTTTCCAGTGATAATTTTAAAAAAAATTCATTCAAAGGATGAGGGCATCGCTGGCTAGGCCAGCATTTATTGCCCATCCCTAAATGCCCAGAGGGCAGTTCAGAGTCAACCACATTGCTGTAGGTCTGGAGTTATATGTAGGCCAGACCTGACCAGGTGAGGATGGCGGTTTCCTTCTCTGAAGGACATTAGGGAACCAGATGGGTTTTTACGACAATTGACAATGGGTTCACAGTCATCATTAGGTTCTTAATTCCAGATATTTATTGAATTCAAATTCCACCATCAGCCATGGCGGGATTCGAGCCCAGGTCTGAGGTTAGACTGAACAACTAACATAAGATGATAGTATAAGGTAGGGGTGGAGGTCAGTTAGACTTTAGGATTAGTGTAAAAGTTCGGCACAACATCGTGGGCCAAAGTGCCTGTACTGTGCTGTACCGTTCTATGTTCTAACTATACGGTAGCCAATCATATCTTAATCCCTTTTTAAAGGACTTTAGCAGTCCTCCAATCCTTCAACATTATACCTGTTTCCAGTGAGAATTAGAAAATAATGGACTAACTTTGTACTATTTACTCCACGGTTTCTTTCAAAAGCTTGTGGTGCATTTCATGCGGTCCTTGTAATTTATCCACTTCAGAGGATACTAATCTCATTGAGTTTCTTCCCTCCGTAAGCTTAAAGTGTCCAATATCTCTCAGCTCTTATTAATTATGATATCTGTGAATTCCCCTCCTTTGCTAAGACATACATGATGTATTCATTAAGAACCATATCAACATCTTCCACCTCTCTGCATATCATACCTTTTTGGTATTTTATGAGCTCTACTCTTTTCTTTAATTATCCTCTTGTCCTAACAATTGATAAAACATTTGTGGGGTTGCTTTGATTTTCCCCATGCCATCTCTTTGTTTTCTGAATTTTTCTATTGATTTCTCCTCTGTCTTCTATATTCCTTTTATTGTAGTATAAGTAAAAGTTTGTCATAAAATTAAATATTTCTTGTATGATGAGTTTAAAAGCTTTATGGCATAATTAGCTAAAATAAATTACTCGATGAGTCATCTGAAGTGGTTTGTGAATATGGCATTTGTCAGCATACTTGCTTTGATTAAAACTATCATAATCATAACTATTTGTTTCAAACGTCTTGTAATGATGCATTACTTGGTGCTATTTTGAATAATGTTGCAAAATACGTGTTTCCCGGTTAGAAATTGATGCAAATTTATTTTGGCTTATTTACAACTGCTCTCTTTAAACAGATGCTATACCTGACTGATATGTAATCTGGAATTAATATTCTTAAATCTATTAAAGGTTTTGAAAAAGGCTATTATTAAGAAAAATACTAACCTTCATCAGTGTGCAAAAAAAGCTGTTACCTTTGTTAAAGCTTCTGGTGTAAAATATTGTACCAAGAACAAAATCAAATTGTTGGAAAAGCCCAGCAGCATCTGTGAAGAAAAATCGGAGATAACGTTTCGGGTCCAGTGAACCTTCCTCAGAACTGATGAGAATGCTCCTTCTCTCTCTCTTTGGGCTCTGCCCCCACCTATCGTTTACTCCCCACTCCACCCTCCTCCCTATCTTCTGCATATAAACCGACATTTCCTAGCTACCATCGGTTCTGAGGAAGGGTCACCGGACTTCAAGCGTTAACTCTGATTTTTCTTCACAGATGCTGCCAGACCTGCTGAGCTTTTCCAGCAACTTCTTGTTTTGTTCCTGATTTACAACATTCAGAGTTGTTTTGGTTTTTACATATGATACCAACACCGAATGGGTTTAACAATATCTATGAGCTTTAGTGTTTCATCCAGATCCCTAGCCAGTTTAAAAAAAAATGCTCTGTCACAACCCATGCTTGGATTCACAAATGTCATTGTATGGTGGTTGTAAAATCCAAGCGGATAAAGTATAAAAGCTTAACATGCCCACTGTTACACGACTGCAAAACTAGTGACAAAGGTTCAGAATGTGTATGATGTTGGACCACCATTGGAGTTTTGTTGATGCCAGGCAAGATAGGGGTTGATAGGAATCTTGTGAAGTAAAAAATAGGCAGCTAAATTGTTATGTTTGAACAATTTGTGTTATGGTCGAACAAGGCGTGAAGGCTTCATAGAACATAAGAGCTATATTGCACGCCGTATATGCAACTTGGATGAAAGTAGTCAAGTTCAGGTGCACAATTTTGGTGGCATCTAATTGGTGTACCTTCTGTCAAGGTATGTTCTGATGGTAAAGTGTTGCCCATTTTTTTGAAATAACAGAAACACAACACTTCCACTTGACAAGCAATCAATAATGGTGGCAGCAAAGTAGAGTTTGGAGTTGTCAGTAGGGGGAGCTGGTGGGGGATGGTTGGATAGTTCAATATGGTAAGAATGGGCTGGGCTGAGTATTAAGAGAATTAGGAAGTGGACATGTTGAGTTTGTTTGTGGTGGGGAGGCAGCCCTGAGAAATTAGAATAAAGGCAAAATTCTGGAGATGATCTGAGCAACACAGAGAATGCTAGAGAAACCCGATAGGTCCGGCAGCATCTCAAGAGGGAAGATGAGCTAATGTTTTGAATCCAATATGAGTTCAATTCTGAAGAAGAGTCATGTCAGTCTCAAAACATTAACTTTATTTCTGTCTGCACAGATGTTGCCAGACCTACTGAGTTTCTCAGGTTTCTTTGAGGTTGTTCCTGAGAAAGTGGAGATGTTTGAGGTTGGAAAAAGGATTTTAAAAGAACAAAGCATGTAAAATTACCCTCAAGAAAAGGACCTGAGCTGCTCCTACCTTTTGTCAAAGGAGACCTGGGAAATAGTCAGTAGTTGGCAATGTTTTGCTTTCTAGGAGTAGCTTAGGGCAGCAGGAAGATTTGTTCATCGAGTTGGATGCGCAGTATCGTTGAAGTGATCTATTCAGTTTGATCATGTATGTACAGATCAGTTTGTACCTGGGTAGAATGAAATCTGCAAGCTTCAAAGTATTATACCTATGAGGAGTAGGGTGAGCGTTTCGAATTGTCATTACAGCATATTCCTCGAGGAGATGAATAGAGAGACTTTGGGAAATTGATTTAATGCTGGTATTAGCACAGATAGGGGATCAACAGACTCTTGACTTTGTGGCTTGGAATTCTGAGAAATTTATATCTATATGGCTAAAATAAGGAGGCCATAAATAGTAATGGCTGACATTTGCCTTGAATGTTAAAAATTAATTATTAATTTGTGTAGTTGATAAATTGACATTGGCTGACTCAGCCAAAAACATATTATCATGTTTTCATTCTGATATAGGTCTGCAAGAATAATTATTGCGTGACAAGTGATTGGTTAAATAGTAATGTATTTTATTTCTTTACTTTATAGAGCCACCTATGCCAATTGCACCACCTCAACTACTTGGTGTTGGCCCCACATATTTACTGATCCAACTCAATGCAAATTCAATTATTGGTGATGGTCCGATCATTCTGAAGGAAGTGGAATATGGTATGACCAGTGGATCTTGGACAGAAATCCATGCTGTAAATGCAGCAACCTACAAGCTATGGCATCTGGACCCAGATACAGAGTATGAAATCAGAGTTTTGCTGACAAGACCTGGTGAAGGAGGGACAGGGTTACCAGGTCCCCCACTCATTACAAGAACGAAGTGTGCAGGTTAGTCCAATTCAGTTTCAAACTGTGGTATTGAATTTGTAGTCTTTATTGTGAAATTGACAGTGGCGTGAAGTACGGCTTTCACAAATTTAGATATGAGGTAAATGTGTGTATTGTTGACGTTATATTTAGAATATATCTGCTGGTAAGTTGATCCTGCATCAATTTGTCAGTGATGCCACTGCAGAACTATGATAAAGTTAGTAATATTATTGAAATATTGCATTTCTCTATAATAGAAGCGTAATGAGTGGTAATAAATCAAAACGCTGGAAAGGTGCACACCTTAGAGTCAACAAACATGTATATCAATACATTAAAGGTTTCCATGGAAAAAGTCAAGTGCAAAATAATTTGATCATTTAATGATTAGATGTTGCATAATCATAGCCATTTCCAGAAAATAGGATTCTGTCCCCTCCATATGGTATTGCCTTGCTTACATGCTATGCATAAATTTACAACTTTTAAAGTTTAATATCTCCCTTTTGTCAAATGGGAGCTCTGTATTTTCTAGCATTTCACTTCTCTAAGTAGATCTTTTTTTCTGACCGGTGAATGAGACAAAGGATTTTGCAGGTAGACAAGAAAGTAGAGGCCACAATCAGATCAACCATGATCTAGAATTAGAATTGGGTTTCTTGTTACATGTATTCACGAGTGCAGTGAAAAGTTTACAACGTCACCACTAACTGCAGCATCTTAGGAACAAAGGTACCTAGGTACAGATTCCCACAAATAAATTGGAAAATAATGAAATAAAAAGTCCAGCATTACAGACCCTTGTGCCATAGAATCCCTACAGTGTGGAAGCAGGCCATTCGGCCTAGTGAGTCCACTCTGACCCCCGAAGAGCATCAAACCCAGACCCAGTCTCCTACCCTATCCCTGTAACCCTGCATTTCTTATGGCTAACCCTTCTAGCCCGCACACCCCTGGACACTATGGGCAATTTAGCATGACCAATCCACCTAACCCGCACAGCTTTGGCCTGTGAGAGGAAACCGGAGCACCTGGAGGAAACCCACGCAGTCACGGGAAGAGTCTGCAAATTCCACACCAACAGTTGCCCGAGGCTGGAATCAAACCTGGATCCTGGGAGTTGTGAGACAGCAGTGCTAACTAATGAGCCACCATGCTGCCTTATGTACAAAAGTGTGTAGGTACAAATCTTTAGAATAAGTTAGAAGAATATAGAAATAAAAAGTTCAGAATCACAGTCATTCCAAGCAGATAAAGACTGAGCCTACAAGACTGCGCTGGGCCTCACCTTTAGATTCCGCCAGCCCTTGCCTCCGGTCCGCACCAGACTTCACCTCGAGGCTCTTGAGGCAAAGAGTCCGTGCTGGCTTCAGTCAAGGCCGGGGGGGTACGCCCCGCTGTCACCCAGAGGCCGGGGGTCTGCCCTGGCTTCACCTTGAGGCCCTCAAATGTCAGTAAGCTTTAAGGGGCTGAACTGCCTATTCTTCCTAATTCATAATGTTTGTGTGTTCTCTGCTGACTTTGTCTTTGCTCAGAGACATAGTGATAAGACCATAAGGATTCAGAATGGAAGAAGGCCGTTTGGCGCCTCAGGCTTGCTCTGTTGTTCAATAGGATCACAGCTGATCCAATGTTCTTCGCATCTGTTTTCCTACCTTTAAACTAAAGTCTGAAATGTTCACTTCTTATTCAGTTTACTTTCCAATTTTCTCTTCACAAGAAGAGGTGGTATCATGGTTTGTGTCTCTTAATTATTTAAATACAACCTTAAGTGCTATGCTTGGGATTTATTTTCGAAATAACTACAAAATGAGAGCTATTCTATTCCGATGAAAAGCCAGTTTTAATCCAAGTAGAACTACTTGACATCTTGCATTTGATTATTCATACTCCACAAGGAGTATACTTGAAACTTTTTTCTTAAGAAACTTAATTGTAAACGTTAGTTCTTGAACAAAATTTCATGTTGAGCATTTGTTTTATTGCTGTTTCAGCTCTGAATTCCCAAATTTTTGTTCACCCACTAATCCCCCAACCCATATTCTTCACTGGAATTGTCAGAATTCAACAATTGTTTGACTATAATTCAGAGAGGGCTTGTAATTTCAGAAATTTAATGTAAATACATTGTTATGATAGTGATAAAAAATGGCTGCCAATTTTTCGACTTCCTTTGTTGGATTTCATTGACTATAAAACGGTTTTTAGAAAGAAAAGTCAGTGACTTAAAAAGTTGTTGCATTCAGCTGATGAACAGTTGAGCTGAGTTAAAACACAATTAACAAGAAAGAGCCATTCTGAGTCAAACTTAATGTAGTTATCATGTGACATTGAAACAGGAAATCTGTGACTCCCATTTGACTTTCATTTTTATGGTTGGTTACACTTATTGTGATAAACTATTTCCAAGTTTATTCAGTTTGGAAACTCAATGAAGCCAAGGCATGGGAGTGCACAGAGGATCTGGGTATTTCTGGCTGCTGATTTGGTAGATCAGAGAGAGAAAAATTGATTTGTAACAGCAGAAGCGGAAGATTCACCATTTTTTCTCGACCTCAAAAGACAATGCCCCGTACCAAAGCAAATTGGAGAAGCATCCATTCACTGAGAACTCAAAGAAAACTATAATTTGTGCTGCTGTTGAGGTACATCAACTGCGTGGTTGCACAGTCGATTGGAGGGTCTATCCTTCAGAGTGTAGATACTTCTGGTTTCAGAATCTGCAGGGAATATTAGAGGGACTGTAGTACAATATTGTAGTAATGTAGTACTCATAATTTACCATGATCTCAAGTTAAAACATAAGACCTTGAGCAAAACCTAAAGTTATAAAACTGACAATTCTTTAGTCTTTCATTTGGTTATAACATCTTTTTAAACTTCAGACCTGTTTTTCTGTGTGTGGTTGATGTCATATTTTATGCTTTATGTTTTTCAACGGGTAGTACGTCATGAAATTTCTTCCTTTCACGGAAGAAAATGCATGAATTGACTCTTAATTTTGAACGAATAAATGATGTTTAAATTGAAATCTGATATAGCCGAGTTTGAAATGAGAGAGAATCTTTATAGCCAAGCAAAGGAGTTAAAAAGAGAGGTGTCTTTTCACCCCTGGTCATAACAAAATTAGGGGCTCCAGATGAATAAATTAGATTGGAGAAAATAAATTGTTCCTTCAAAAGTTGTTTGCCTTCAGGTTGTAGTAGTCATACTAAGATGTTAGTATTTGATATGAGTGCTTTCCTAGATCAGAGTGAGGTCACTGACAAAAAAAAATAGTTGAAGGGATTGTCCTGGGAAGAATTAAAAGCTACTAAATTAAATAAGCTATTTAAATTAGACATTTACAGAGACTGAATTCTATATGAAAGCCCAAAATACAATCAAATTGCAAAATGTATGGCAAAAGATCTAGAGGTGTAACTTGAGTGAACTGAAACCAATAAAATCGGAGCAGCTATGATTCAAACTGGAATTTCAGCACAAAAAAAGGAAAGAGAATTTCTGGAACAAGAACGAGGGAGAGAGAGGTGGAGGCAGAAATTAGAGTGAGAGAAGGAGTAGGAATAAGAATGTGAGAGTGGGAGAGAGAGACCGGAAAAAGTATAGGAGACGGGAGAGAGGAATGGAAAGGAGGGAGAGAATTCTGGGAAAGAAAAAGGGAGTTGAAGTTAAGTCAAATTGAGTGCAAAAGGAGAATCCCAACTGCTGAGAGAATTGCACCTAACTCAAACATAAGGGCTGAAATATTCACATTTACTCATTTAAACCTAACTCCAAGGAAGGCATTGGCATCTTTTTCACTTCTTTTCTTTTGAAATAGTCGATAACACAGCAATTGAAGTGGTCAGCCCAACAATGAATATGGCAGTTGCAAAGCAAGCAGAGAGCTCAAAGTTTACTTCCTTTTGCCTGAAAAGAGCACACCTGACTATGAGGCAGAAAAAAGGCGCTACTTTAAGCATGGACTAGTTAGTGGCAGCGGAATAAGGAAAAAAAAGAACAAACCTAGAATTTGAATGGCTTAAACAACGCCCTTCTAACTGTTGGGGACAGGCACTCAAAATTATGGCCATGTGTCTTTGTGAGAGAATTTTCCTTGAGGGGTTCAAAATCTCAAATAGCTTTTTCTAATAGGGACTTGAATGTAGGAATAGTGGGTAACGGGGCCCAGGTGGCCGTTCTGGCTTGCAGACAGTAAGGACTGCGGATGCTGGAAGCTAGAGTCAATAAATGTGGAGCTGGAAATACACAGCCAGTCAGACAGCATCCGAGGAGCAGCAAAGTCAACCTTTCAGGCCGAAACCCTTCGTCAGTCCTGACAAAGGGCTTCGGTCCAAAACATTGATGTTCCTGTTCATCGGATGCTGTCTGACCGGCCGTACTTGGCCATTCTGGCTGATGGCTATAAGTTAGGACACAGACCCATAAACCGAAGTAGGTTTGTGTCTAGAAGATAAAAGTTATCAGTGTGATAAGGGCGAGGTAAATACTGCCGGACAAGCTGCAGAAAAGAAAAGAGTAGTCAAGTAGAGAAAATAGAGCTATCCATAACTGTCAAAGAATGGATCTGGATGGAATACAGGTGGAAACTTCCCCAAATGATTCCACTGTGGGAGGCCAAGGCACACAAAGCAAAATTGTTGGTTCTAGCATCGTATAGAAACACAAACTGCGAAACTAGTCTGTTGAATTCGAGGTGTTCAATATCTGCTGAGGCATAACTGTTGACTAAGATAGTGATCGGGGTTTATGTCCAGAGCAGCAATGACTACTTATTGTTTTATGCATCCAGGGAGAGAAGTCAGCTTTCTCCAAGTCAGATGTTTATGGAACTTTGAATTGGAGAAAATGGAAGAATTTCTATCTTGAAGCAAATTCCAATGTGCAGATGAAAGGTGCCACTAATTAAAGTTTACTTAGCAAGTCAGTATAGACAGATGCCAGGAATAGGTGTTTTTACTGGGGAAGAGATTGGCCTCAAGTAGAAAACAGCTGTCCGCTTTGACTAGAAAGGC